TTTCTGTAGTGAAGTACACGCGCTGTCCATTGTCAAGGTGCACTGCCAAATAAACAACTGCTGGATGTCGTTCATAAATTGGAAATGACAAAATGTGCCATACCGCTTCATTGCTACTAATTTAGCGCCCCAGCTGATATTGCTTGATTTCATCGATAGATGCAGCTGCATGTCCCAATCCAAAGACTGCCATATCGCCTCCTTTGTTGACATATTTGCAAATGTACTTATGTTTGCCAAGAAATGTGTCGACTGGCCTGTGTCACCTGCTCCCAATGATGATAATGGTTCGGTTGGTGAATGTGATACTGGCAATTTAACTTTTCCACCAGCGCAGCACATACCCGGCATGTCATTCTTAAATTTGAAGGCACTGCATGTATGCACACTTTATCCATTTTGCCAATAAGCTCCTGCGGATGAAGACTGTAATCATAATTGCTGTTGTAATGGAATGCACCAAGATTAAATTCAAGATGCAGTGTTCGCCTGGATAAAGTAGTGCGCAACCTAACGGTTTCCAGTCTTGCTTTCCGTTGCTCGACTGTTTCTGATAAACGGACTTGAGCAGTGCGTACTCTATTGGTTTCCAATCTTGCTTCTCGATGCTCGTCTGACTGAGACGATCTGGCTTCAGCAGTGCGCACTTGAACGTTTTCTAGTCTTGCTTTCCGTTGCTGGTCTGATTGAGATGAACGGGCTTCAGCAGTGCGCACTCGAATGGTTTCCAGTCTTACCTCACGCTGCTCGTCTGTTTCTGAAGCAATTAATGCCCTTCTCTTGCGTGTTTTAGGTGTAGATGGGCTAATCGCTTGTCGTTTTGGAGGCATAACTACAAATTTTGTGAGCGCTGATCATCAGTAGCTTGTTCGTCCTCACGCACTGAATGAAATGTGACTTGAAGTATCGCTGAAATAAATGAAAATATGAGCATGAGGTAACAATCTATTTTGACTCAAGAGGAAATGCATAGAAACTGGGCAGCGAATAGTAAGAAAAGACGGTATATAAGACAATATGAAAAAGCCAACAGATAATGTGCACACATTTATCATTGTGAGATTTAAGGAGTGGTCCACACATGTATTTGAAGTTTAAAAAATGTACATAATGACTGATGGACCAATGTGTATACATTTATCATTGCTGGATTTAAGAAGTGGTCCTCATTTGTTTGAAGTTAACAAAAACATGTACATAATGCATAATGACTGATGTTTTATTTTTAGATTCTAACACTGACCTGAGACGGAATGTCGTGTAAATATATATAATTCTTTTGAATAACAGAAGAAAGCCAACCAAATATGTTGTACTACTTGTACTAATGAGTATGAGAAAGATGATAATGATAATGGTTAATGATAATGTGTATACATTTATCATTGCGGGATTTAAGAAGTGGTCCACATTTGTTTGAAGTAAACAAAAAACATGTATATACTGACTAATGTTACTTAAATAAACGCTCTTACCTTTTTAGATATTTCTAGATAACACAACTAAAAAAGTCGATAGCCGTTTTCCTTGTAATTTTGGGGGCGGATGTTGACGATAGAGCGGCACTACTGCGCATGCACGGTAAATCGGTCGCACGTAACGTGGCTATAATTAGAAATCACTAAAATTATAAATATTAGTTTCGAATATTATGGCTTAAATTGTGGTCACCTATCTCTAACAGTGACAGGTTGAATTTCAAACCATGATGGTTCAACATCCGGTATCAAAACAAACATATCCTGAAAATTTCAGCTAAATCGGCTCAATAGTTTCCGAGTCTATAGGGGACAAACAAACACACAAACGTTGATTTATATATATATATATTAGACTTTCAATCTACTCCCCCGGCTCTTTCCCGAAGTTGTCACCTACTTTACTATTATTCAAGTGCCTCCCATATTATTCGACACCATAACATGTACAGCTGGCCCTAACCCCGTGTGTTTTGCCTTGATTCTATCGCAGTGTGGTACAATTGACTAAACTTTCTAGTTGTACTATAAACAGGTCTTTTTAATGACACTAGCATCTTCCTTATGTGGGGCGCATTTATCGCTATTTTGAAGCCCAACCCCAGCGACTGACGAGGGCCGTAATATAACCTTAATGTTTAACGCGGTTTCGGTGACCTCTCCACGGGTAATACTCATCCGCATAGTGTATCACCGGTTGTTTATCGCTCTGTGTGATGTCCTGGTGGGGTAAAAGCGAGTGTCCCATGTGTGTTGTTTGCTTTCTCGCTCATTGTCCATTAAAAGCCGTAGGGGCTACCAATTGTTACCTGTTATGAAGGACTTTTGGAAGGCCATATATTGTGAAATATTTTCCTGACAAAATCAAGTTATTCCTACACAAGACTGCCAACAATAAGGACAGCCTGTTCTTTTGTTCTGTTGTTTTTGCGCCTCTTTACCATGTCACCCATCTAGAAGATGAACATTGTTGCCCCAATAGTGGGAATTCACATCCACCTCTTCTTTAGGTCAGTTTTAATTTGTTTTTCCCATTTGGGTTCCGGGGCCCGGCTATAGGGAAAACAAGAAAGAATAGACCACCTATCTACCCAAAAACATATCGTAAGAGTCGACTAATTGAGAGCTTCCTTCAAAGTCGAAGTGCATCTGTCTGAGAGGCAAGAAACCCGCAGTCTGCATACAAATGAGTTAGATTCTGGAAAAGGACTGCAGTCCAGAAGTGGATGCACAACCAGAACTTTCTGCTAGAGTTCACAGCTAGTGAACCTGAAGAAGAAGAATATCAATGGTTTGATGCCATAAAAGTTTGTCTATGTACAGACTGGTAGTGTTTTATCACAGATTTCCTCTGTCGGTGACATTTTCACATCACCGACGATGATGAAGATGTTTTTAGTGGTACCAGTGGCACTGTTACTTGGCATTTTTATCAGCTGTTTTCGTAAAAAAGGAGAACGAGTGACTGGTAATAAAGAGGAGTGTCTAATGAGAAAAACAAAGTTTAAAGTGGAGAGGAAGCGTAGACGACTGAAAGTTTCCGCAAGCCTGCTGTTTCTAGGTTAGCCATCTGTTGAATGCTATCTAATGTTCACAATACTCAGCATACGACCAAGTTTCGACAGGTATAGATCTATACTTGACACAGCATGAGTTAAAACTCGACGCCATTAGCTCCGCCATACTTCAGGTTTATTGATACAACACAAGAGGGTATTTACAAGCCCTCACACTGACCATACTTCACTCTCAGAGACGTAGACACTGATCTTATTGGCATTCGAACATAGTCCTCTCTCTCTGTTTCTCTCTCTCTCTCTCTCTCTCTCTCTCTCTCTCTCTCTCTCTCTCTCTCTCTCTAATTCTCTCTCTCTCTCTCTCTCTCTCTCTCTCTCTCTCTCTCTCTCTTTTCTCTCCTAACTTGCAGCGACGTCTTACTGACCACTACAGCTCGTAAGGTCTACAGCGTCCCGCAACTGGACTTGCTGTATAGAAGAACAGAAACAATTCTTCTATCAACTGGACCTTGATTCTACTTCAGAAGACACCGCAGCTGACTGGAAATGGACTTCACTCGCTCGTTCTTCAGTATTTGTCTACAGCACATCAGCCTGTCTAAGTACTTTGATGCCCGACAGGACTTCTAGCACGTCCCCTCTAGAACACAGCTCTCGTCGGCATCCCCACTGCTCTTTTTCCATGATGATCTGCACCTTCCTCGCGTCATCACCCATAACAGTTACTATGTAGCGTCCAGTCCCCTTGGCCCGATTTCGCCAGCTGGACTCTACATTTGACCGTACCAAGACTCATAACTCATACCTCGCTGTCTGACGGGGACACGGTACTCTGTCTGACTCTCACTCGGGATCTTCACAATCTGACTCGAGAAATACTGAATCTTTCTGACTGACTACGGACCTATGTGGGCGGCAGATTTTACACGAGAGGCTTGCTCGTGTGGGCGTTCTCAGACTACACGAGAATCACTCATGTGGGTGGCTCAGGCTTACATGAGAATCACGCCGGCACGTAGTTGATACTTCTTCCGTGCGTCATGTTAGCAATGCCTGTCAGCCCCCGCCCTACGCAGCTACTATCTCGTGCGTTCATGTCCCTCTCGTGCCAATACACTTCTCACTGGTCCCAACACTGACTCCCCCTCACCACTTGGGCCAATATTGACACCGGTCACGGGGCATACCTTTGATCTTCCGGAAATAACTATCATATCACGTTGTCCCTTCCTACAATATTACAACGCTTCCAAATCAGCATGCAGCACCATCAACGAGTCAAGATGGACAAGCTTCAGGCAGTCAAATTTGAGTACTGAAGGTTCTCAGGCGTACTGGGTCCCAGGAACAGTGCACACAGGTGCGAGTCGAGTTCTTGGACGTACTGGGTCCCAGGGACAATGCACACAGGTGCAAGTCGAGTTCTTGAACGTACTGGGTCCCGGGACAGTGCACACAGGTGCGAGTCGAGTTCTTGGACGTACTGGGTCCCGGGACAGTGCACACAGGTGCCAGTCGAGTTCTTGGACGTACTGGGTCCCAGGGACAATGCACACAGGTGCAAGTCGAGTTCTTGAACGTACTGGGTCCCAGGGACAGTGCACACAGGTGCAAGTCGAGTTCTTGAACGTACTGGGTCCTGGGACAGTGCACACAGGTGCGAGTCGAGTTCTTGGACGTACTGGGTCCCAGGGACAGTGCACACAGGTGCCAGTCGAGTTCTTAGACGTACTGGGTCTTAGGGACAGTGCACACATGTGCAAGTCGAGTTCTTGAACGTACTGGGTCCTGGGACAGTGCACACAGGTGCGAGTCGAGTTCTTGAACGTACTGGGTCCCAGGGACAGTGCACACAGGTGCAAGTCAAGTTCTTGAACGTACTGGGTCCCAGGGACAGTGCACACAGGTGCAAGTCGAGTTCTTGAATGTACTGGGTCCTGGGACAGGGCACACAAGTGCGAGTCGAGTTCTTGAATGTACTGGGTTCAGGGGACAATGCACACAGGTGCGAGTCGAGTTCTTGGACGTACTGGGTCCCAGGGACAATGCACACAGGTGCGAGGCGAGTTCTTGGACGTACTGGGTCCCAGGGACAGTGCACACAGGTGCTAGGCGAGTTCTGGGACAACTCCAACAAATCCACTATTCACAACGTAAAGGGCCCAGTCCGCGAGGGTAACATTTTGGCACTTCTGGAGTCTGAGAGAGAAGCTAGAAGATTAAGATAAAGGTATCTTGGATTCAAGCCAATAAACGGAGGCAGGCCTAAGCTGTATTAGATTATATGTCTAATTTTTGTGTTTGCATTGTGTTTTGCTTCCTAAAACAGTAAACATGTATGAGCATGGTTTAAGAAAATTTAAGTGGAGAGCTAAAGAGAGACTGAATGTACTTTAACAGTGTAATGTGAGAAACGTGGTCTTTGTATATTTTTTTGTTTGTTTGTTTGTTCCCTGTAGGAAGACTTGAAGTCAGCAGTTAAAGATGTACATAGAAACGTGCATTCAAATAGCTTGATGAAACACCATGAGTGCTTTGTACCAAGGATGGGTCATGTTTCATTCTTGTTTGTTCTTTTAAACATTCATTAAATTACTTTGAAAAGGATGAAAAAAAAAATATGTTTTTGATATAAACGCGTGCATAAAAAGAAAGGCAGATACACACACACACACATATAGATAAATATAGCGGCAGACAGAGAAACACACATACATACAAACATAAATGCAGACAGACAGACAGACAGACAGACAGACAGACAGACAGACAGACAGACAGACAGACAGACAGACAGACAGACAGACAGACAGACAGACAGACAGACAGACAGACAGACAGACAGACAGACAGACAGACAGACAGACAGACGGACGGACGGACGGACGGACAGCCAGAGAGACAGACGGACAGAGGGACAGACAGACAGACAGACAGACAGACAGACAGACAGACAGACAGACAGACAGACAGACAGACAGACAGACAGACAGACAGACAGACAGACAGACAGACAGACAGACAGACAGACAGACAGACAGACAGACAGATAGATAGATAGATAGATAGATAGATAGATAGATAGATAGATAGATAGATAGATAGATAGATAGAAAAATAGATAGATAGATAGATAGATAGATAGATAGATAGATAGATAGATAGATAGATAGATAGATAGATAGATAGATAGATAGATAGATAGATAGATAGATAGATAGATAGAGAGAGAGAGAGAGAGAGAGAGAGAGAGAGAGAGAGGAGAGAGAGAGAGAGAGAGAGAGAGAGAGAGAGAGAGAGAGATAGAGAGATAGATAGATAGATAGATAGATAGATAGATAGATAGATAGATAGATAGATAGATAGATAGATAGATAGATAGATAGATAGATAGATAGATAGATAGATAGATAGATAGATAGATAGATAGATAGATAGATAGATAGATAGATAGATAGATAGATAGATAGATAGATAGATAGATAGATAGATAGATAGATAGATAGATAGATAGATAGATAGATAGATAGATAGATAGATAGATAGATAGATAGATAGATAGATAGATAGATAGATAGATAGATAGATAGATAGATAGATAGATAGATAGATAGATAGATAGACAGTTCCACGAACTAATACCATTTGTTTTCTGATCGTACCAACTGAACTATGACATGGGGGAAAGGGGGAGGGAAGGTATTATCAAGAGAGCTGTTCCAGGCAACCAGGGATCGGGATCTGTGGAGATACATGAGCACCTTTGCCAGTTTGCAGGGCACATGATGATAATAGCCAACTCTTTATGTAAACTCTCTACCACCACCTTCTCCAGAACAGAGTCGGCCGTGACAAAATCTAGGTCTATGGTATCCAGTTACCACCTTTTAACACTTTTTCCCTAATTAAAACCACCCAGGTGCCTCATTCTCTCCAGGTTTGCTGTTTGATCTAGTATTTATCAAATGAATGAACTTAGACATACAGACAGGCAAACCAACAGACGTACAGGGGATGAGCTTAGACATACAGAGAGGCAAACCAACAGACGTACAGGGGATGAACAGACATACAGACAGGCAAACCAACATACGTACAGGGGATGAACTTGGACATACAGAGAGGCAAACCAACAGACGTACAGGGAATGAGCTTAGACATACAGAGAGGCAAACCAACAGACGTACAGGGAATGAACTTATACATACAGAGAGGCAAACCAACAGACGTACAGGGGATGAACTTAGAAATACAGACAGGCAAACCAACATACGTACGGGGGATAAACTTGGACATACGGAGAGGCAAACCAACAGACGTACAGGGGATGAGCTTAGACATACAGAGAGGCAAACCAACAGACGTACAGGGAATGAACTTATACATACAGAGAGGCAAACCAACAGACGTACAGGGGATGAACTTAGACATACAGACAGGCAAACCAATATACGTACAGGGGATGCACTTGGACATACAGAGAGGCAAACCAACAGACGTACAGGGGATGAGCTTAGACATACAGAGAGGTAAACCAACAGACGTACAGGGAATGAACTTAGACATACAGAGAGGCAAACCAACAGACGTACAGGGGATGAACTTGCACATACAGATAGGCAAACCAACAGACGTTTAGGGGATGAACTTAGACATACAGACAGGCAAACCAACAGACGTACAGGGGATGAACTTAGACGCACAGACAGGCAAACCAACAGACGTACAGGGGATGAACTAAGACATATAGACAGGCAAAAATATACATAGATGGAAACACAGATGAAAAATAAAGAAGGAAAGAACTTTATTTACAGAGTGTTAAAAAAGTCACGCAGACAGGCAAATCGACAGACGGACAGACAGACAGACAGACAGACAGACAGACAGACAGACAGACAGACAGACAGACAGACAGACAGACAGACAGACAGACAGACAGACAGACAGACAGACAGACAGACAGACAGACAGATAGACAGACAGACAGATAGATAGATAGATAGATAGATAGATAGATAGATAGATAGATAGATAGATAGATAGATAGATAGATAGATAGATAGATAGATAGATAGATAGATAGATAGATAGATAGATAGATAGATAGATAGATAGATAGATAGATAGATGGATAGATGGATAGATGGATAGATGGATAGATGGATAGATGGATAGATGGATAGATAGATAGATAGATAGATAGATAGATAGATAGATAGATAGATAGATAGATAGATAGATAGATAGATAGATAGATAGATAGATAGATAGATAGATAGATAGATAGATAGATAGATAGATAGATAGATAAAAACGCCAACTCTAAGTCAAGCTCACCATCTACACTATCAGCACACCCCAATCCCCGCTTCCCCCTTTCTTTCTCTGCAAACACCGGCGGCTTCACGAGCAAACAGGTGTAAGCACAAGTCTCCTACAGTACAAATGAGAGCGTGGGAAACTCTTGAGTGATTTTGGAGATGGTCCAAAACGTATTGGTACCCTCCTTCCCGCCTTTCCCTCCCTATCCTTGTTCTCCTTTCATCAACCTTTCCACCGTCTTGAAGTCTTCCCTCAGACATTTACCTCGGCGCGTGTGGTTTACTCATGGTCGGGCTCGGTGCCTGCACTCTCACTGGTGATGCCTTCAGCAAATGATACCTGTCGATTTGATGGATGGGGGTGATGGGTGATGGAGTAAGGAAGGCCAGGGAGGGACTGGTGAGGTTCCGGCTAAAGAGGAAGTTTAGAAAGCTTACGCCGATGGGAGAAGGGGGAGTGGGGAATAAAGCGGGGGAGAAGGGTGGCTCTATAATGATGGACGTGGAAGACGTCAGAGAAGTATTAATTATTTTACCAGGAAGATAATTACAAAATAATTGGCGTTTTAAAAAGAAAATATATTCGAATCTAATCTCAGGAAAACAACAACAACAGCAGCAACAACAACAACAGCAGCTGCCTTTACAATGAAAGTTTGCTGCATTAGATCTATAACACTGTGTCTCGCCCTCAGATTTGTATACCCTCTTAAGCCGTTTTCTTCGCCAGTTCTCCGCCCGCCCCTAGGAAATGATAACCAGGTTGAACACCACCACCCCTTTGATGATTTGTTTATTGAGGCCAAGCTCCTGATTGTTTACTCATTGTGGGCTGTTGTCTATTCCTTGATATCTATCCTTCCACGTGTGTCGCTCACTACCGCATGTTTGTCCTATTTTCAACCTTTTCCTTCAAACATGTTTATGACGATATGTCTTTTACTGCGCCAAAAACTTTCATTTTTTACACATAACTCCTTAATTTTTATTCAGAATGTCCCCACTGTATTTCTAGTTGTTTGTTTTGTTTCAGCGAAAGGCAATCTATTCCGCTGCATGTCCTCATCTCAATTCGATATTTTGAAATGCTTGTTCGCGGTTTCTACGCCATACAGTAGGGTTGAGTACACTACACGGCAAGACAAACATATAACCAAATTACCACTGGTACCATTAGTATTGGAACTCTGCGCTGGATGCTGAAGATGAGGGCGGATCACGCATGGGAAAGCCCCGAGTGCTGTGATGTCACTTATTGACTCAACTCAACTAGGGTTAAGAACAGGTACCATTTGACCAACACCATGTTTAATGCGTTGTTTATATTTCTAAATGTCAAAATTTGTTCTCTTTAAATATTTTTAAAACTAATTTAGGAAAAAAAGCAGACGCTAAAGGTTTATATTATTATATAAAGGCTAAATTTAATAAGCATTTGTGATATTGGATTATTATTGCTTCAAGTGTACACAAATAAATGAATGGGGTTAAACCACAAGAGGGACGGAGAAGACAGAGGAGAGAAAACATTCAGACATACAAACATCTAGGATCACCATCTAGAAAAAGAAGGTCAATCCCATAGATAAGTTGAGTTCAGTTGAGTGTCAAGAACCGACATCACATGGCTCAGGGCATTCCCATATAAGCTACCTTCTCATCTTCATTGAAGAGTTCTGTAATATCAGAAGCAGTCTTTTTGTAGGTCCATCTTGCCTTTTATCTGAGTGTAGAGTGTCGGCCGCATCCTCTGGACACTCCCAGTTGTACCAATCTCTTCAGACAGTGATAATCTAATTGTGCCTTCCAAAGGACCATGCCAACATCTACCTTGTCATGCAACGGTTTACCACCGAGTGATATGAAAAAAACAGTCAGTCAGTCTGTCTGTTCGTTTCCCAAAA